GAAATTTGCTCTCTCTCTCTCTCCCCCTCTCTTTCTTTTTCTCTCTTTCTCTCTCTCCCTCTCCTTATATATATATATATATATAGTTTTTTTTTAATCTGGCTGCAAAAAAAATGGTTACATTTAGAAGGTTAAGGTAGTTTTTTTCACGGTTCATACTTTTTATTGCACTTCTTAAGAGTACACGCGGCTGTTGATTTATGATATTTGTTTGACATTACCACGGTGACATGATGCTTAGCTAAGCCCAGCTGACATCCACCTGGGACAAGGGAGAATGCTGAGAGCCCACTTGGTGCCCACCTGCCCACTTGGCCGTTTACACGCTTCTTTCTGGAACTGTGAAAATCCCTTCGAGTTCTTCCTGCCTTCCAGCTTCTTCCACAGGATCTAGTGCCAGGTCATCCCTCACTAAGCACAGCAAGGGGGGGAAACGGTGCTGGGGGAGTTGTGGATGACAGGGAAGGGAAAGCAAGGGTAATGCTGCAAAGTTATGGCTTGATGTTAAAAAGGGAGAGAAAATATCTTGTTTATACTGTTGCAAAACATATTATTGTCCTTCTCTTACCCCCCTTTTACTGTCACGTCCAGGAAGGAGGCAGCACTATTTTTAAGCTCTATTTTTTTTGTTAAGTGGGGAGTATCTGTATGTTCTTGGAATGGACATTTGAGTTATTGTTGTCGACACCGAATCTGCTTAAAAGAAACATTTTTCAGAAATGTCGAATCAAATTTTGTCCCAATAAATATTGGGCATCTCGTTGGTTGACTTAATCAATAAGCATTATTTTGTGATTTCCCAAATGTTTTATATATATTTTAGGTTTTATATTTCTTTAAATTATATTTTATATGCTCATGTGGAGTTGTTATTGTCAAGTTCTTAATTTCGGGTTCTTAACTGCCCACTCTTCCCCATCAACAGCACCCAGCAGAGGCTCCTGAATGCTCAGCTGACCTGCCCGTCCCCCTTCTCTTAAAATGGACACCACAGGTTTGCAAATGTTTGGGGACAAACATCTTTTTTCAAAATCTGATTAGATTAGATTTTATCTGTCATGTGTTTGCATATCCTCTTTTATGCATATCTGCTGTATGCTTCTTCCGTTTGTACCTATTCCTTATTAGCATTGCAATTTCTTTGTACGGTGGATAAAATGATGATAAAAATACTTTTATTTTGGAACGTGATTAGAATTATACCATTATACCACTCTGGCATTGGTATGACATTCCTTCTCTCTTTTTCTCTACTCTCTTTTTGTTTTTGTTTTTTTTGTTTTTGTTTTTTGTGGAAAAAAAACCTTGCTTTGTCCGAAATCCCTTATTTAGCATATGGCTAATGGACACGGACCACAGCATATTTTCTATTGCCACCACTCGGTGTTACTTTCTCTGTCACACCATCTAAGTGCTGGGGTTTTTTTTCCACAACCAAAACTCCTCTTGGTTTTTCCTGTGGCCTGGCAGCATCATATTATACATTTCAATTTTTCTCTTGCTTCTTACCCTTTGTGTGCGAGGACTCTTGCCACGAAGGACCCTAAATAACAACTGCTCACCAAGTTCCCACAGCTCGCCATGCCTACTTTCTTTTCTGCTGAGGAGGTGACTGGTACCTGACAAAATCAGAGGCTTTTAATGCTGTTAAAATAGCTTTGGCAAAAGCTGCTCTGATCTCACACCACTTTTTCAACAGGAAGCTCTACAAAATTGAAAGCAAATGTATTCTCAGGCCTATCTGTGTTCTGGTGTTCTTCAAAGATGTTTTGCCTCTCATCCCAGCAGCCTTCATCAGTTGATGCAAGAAGGCTACATAGGACAGCTCTGTCCCAAGTATTTATCCTTCAAGGTATAGGCACACTTAGCCGAGAATGGTTTACAGTGCCTTCTGACGGGGAGTTTCTTGGTCTTTTTGTTGACACTTTGGGTTCCTGTTGGAGGGCTGGAGATTCATAGCCTTTGTTTGACCATAAGCCGCAAGACGTTTGCCATGGCCAAGACCGCACAGCCGTAAGCTGGTCCGCAGCTTTGCGCTATTTCAGAATATACGACTGACATCCAACACGTCACTCTGTATACTCGAAGCTGGGGATGAAAACTCTGTGGATGTCGCCATTAAGCCGGAGGAGGTGACTTTAGACCGCCTTAAGCCCGCTCATGTGGTCCTTGTGGTGCCTCATCAGATGGTCCAAACCCCTCGTTGAGGGAGCCCTTCTGGCTCAGCCTCCAGTCCAGCCACTGTGATTTCCCCAAACTCTGCAATCGCCCTGGACGCCCCTCCTGTGAAGCCACCAAATTTCTCCCCCACTGTGTTGACTGTTAGATGTAGAGTCTTCTGTGTGGGACAGCTCGTATGTTTTACTCTTTTGAACTTGGTGAATTCTTTGTGGTTGGTGGGAGGTGGCGTGCTGTGAGGTGACCTCACAAAAATTGTAAATATTCACCAAGGCGCTGCGCCTGATGAGCAGACCTCTGGTTAGGAGGAGCTACTCTGGTTGCCGGTTAAGTAGCAAAAATGATCGAGACTTTATCAATTGTTTTTGTTGTTGGTAAGTGGCGGATCAAACTGTTGAACCAACTCCTGCCTCTGCAGCTATCACATCTCCACAGCACGATGATTGCTTTATCAGATCTTATTTTCAGCATGAAGTAGCTCACTCTTCTGCATTTCAATTGAATGGCGGCAATGTAGTCTACATGCGTGTGCAGTGTTCGACAAAAAATCCTGATGGCGAAATGAACCTTATTTGTTATATAGCTGGTTTAATGTGCAAACAACTCTGGATTTATTTTTTTTTTACTTTTTTGCGTCCTCGTTACTGGTATTTGCCTCTTTCATTTGCAGTCATCTCTGCCTTTTGGTGAGTTCATCACACCAATGGTTGCCTTGTCCCTCAAAAACTACTGCCCAGTATCGAAAGCGTTATCGGATTTTCAAAGAAATTGGACAAAGGACTGAATGGTTGCCTGCATGCGTGCATTTGCATGTGTGTGTGTTTGTGAGCGTTTGTGTGCATGTTTGCATATGTTCGTGAAGTGCGTGCGTGCCTGTGTGTGTGTGTGTGTGTGTGTGTGTGTGTGTGTGTGTGTGTGTGTGTGTGTGTGTGTGTGTGTGTGTGTGTGTTACTTGCGTGCATGCGTGTGTGTGTGTTGATACATGGCAGGCATACAGTGAGGACCAGCTTAGAACAGCGCTACCGTATGGAGCCTGTCTGCCTGCTGGGCTGGTGATGGATCTCTCCCACACTACAACATGAAGTGTGCGCGTGTGTATGTCTTTGTGCTGTGTCGATGCGCGTGCATGCACATCTATGCCAAGTGATTTTTTTTTTTTTTGTCTGATGAGTGATGGGTTTGTGTGGGTGTGTGTGTGTGTGTTACTTGCGTGCGTGCGTGTGTGTGTGTGTGTTACTTGCGTGCGTGCGTGTGTGTGTGTGTGTTACTTGCGTGCGTGCGTGTGTGTGTGTGTGCATGAGTGTAGGGCAGGGGGAAGGGCCTGTCTGTCGGCAGTCCTGACATGTTCATTTGAAAGACTAATTATTGCTTGCTCTGTTGCGGGGCCAAGACGTGCTACTCAGGGCAGAAATTAACAGCTAATGTGTATCCCAATCTAACAGTGTATGCAGTATATAACGTGACCGTTTTTATTTGAATGAGGGCTTTGTATCAATATGCAAGTATAATTTTGATTACTAATCCAACTCAAATGCAGAAACATAAATGGGTAAATGTGTATAGTGGGAATGGGATAATACAGGTAACCCATGGTGCGGTCCATACCTCGGTTTTTGGGACAAGGTTTGGTTCCTTTTCAGTGTGTGTATAATGCATAAAGGGAACTACTTTTTTGCCTTTCAAAAGAATCTCTGTATTTTAATGATCAGTAAACAATGGATGTTGTAGTGTACTGAATAGTATAACTTATGTATTTCAAGGTAACCGTTAAACAGTTCCGTAAACAACATACACTGCTTGTGTAACATAAATTAAGATTGATCATGCCTTCATTGCCATCTGGAGGCATGAAAAAAAAAAAAAAGAACTCGTTTTCAAGACAACTCCAGACATCCCGAAAATGTCACTTGAAAGACGTGAGTCATTTTCATTGAGGCAAATTCATTTGTTGAGTTCTTAATGGACTGATAGTCTTAATGCATAGCTGTTAATGTTAGTTCACCAGACACCACTCATGCTTTGATGTCCAACAAGAATACACAATCATTGACATCAAGCAAATACATTAGCATTATATTCTGATGGGTTTTTTTGGGGGGGTGAGGGGGGTGTTTAACTCCATTTGTGGTGACTTCAAGTGGTGAGGTGTTTGTATCACGAAGGGATGGCCAATTGATTAAGGACAGCAAGGAGGAGACCAGCCTGGCTTGTGCCTTGTTGCCTTCGTGATTTTGCACATGAAAGCTTCCAACAGCTGTTAAAGAAGGTTTTGTGCTTTGATGGTCTAAGACGCAAAGATGTTACTACGGGACAAAAAATACCATAATGGAATTTGGTTTTCTTTATTTTACCCCAAATGTATAACCTGAGTGCAAAACCGAAAAAGCGTAGTCCCATAAGGGTGTACCTGTATATTATGCGGCACATAACATGTAACTGCATATGAGGAGTGAACATGTTCGACTTGGAAATATGTATTTACAAGTACGTTAAAATATATTTGCAATTATATTCAAACGTATTTGCAAGACATTCAAATGTAGGTGTAGGTCAAATGCTAAAAATATTTTCTCCCGTAATGCCACACTTGGGGTATGCACATGCCCAAGTCAATACCCCATGGCAATATGAGAAACAATGCCGAACAGAAAAAAAATGCATTGCAGTTATAATGATCAAGTCATTAAAATATAATAAATAATGTTTACTTCAGCGCCGAACATATTTTTATAATGTAGGCCAAATGCTTTATTAAAACATAGTTTTTTTTTTTTTTTTTACACATGCGCAAGTTAAAACCATATGACATAATCGGGAATACGTTTTTAGCATTTAGCCTACACATTTGTCTAAATGTACTTCAAAATAAGTTTAAACATATTTAATTAAGTTCCAACGTACTTCCAAATGTGTTTCAACGCATTTGCCAGTCAAAAAAGTTTACTCCAAATAGGCACTTCTGTTAGTCACGTTTTATCACCCGCAATAGTAGTCATGCTTCGAAGAAAAATTCACTCACAAAATTATTTACTTAGCAGTAACATTCACGTCAAGACGTTTTCAAGGACCAAAATAAATTTAAAAAATATCACTCGCCAAAGCTGTGCTTCAAGAAGTGGTCGTTGGTTGCCCCGCTTTTGTTTACCTCGTCTCTGCCACTTACGGTGCCTACCAGAACGTATCAATATTTATAATAAATATTGTTTTTAGAGTCAAGGAGACTTTGGCTAGTTGTACATGAAAATCTTTTTTCCGTCACTACATTGTGAAACTTTGGTGCAACCTGTGGCCCTGGTTCAAATGAACCGCTCTGGCAAAACTAAAGCTATTCAGAAACACGGTTCACTCTTAATTCTGAAGTTGTGTGCAATGGCACCATATTACCTCCTACGTCCTGCAGCAGACTCTTCGACTCTTAAAGTGACTGTAACCAGTGTTTGAGGCGGCTTTCAGTGTTGTCCAAATTTACTGATATCAGACCAACACAAGTGACATGAAATATCAGGTCCACAATTATCAGTCCAGTAGTTATCGTGCATCCCTAATCATCAATATTTTTATGTTGACGTGCCCTTGAGCCAGACAAACTTGACTGACAGGGGCGATAGAGATTTTCTGACATTTACTGAAGTGTATCTGCATTTGTGCATGCGTCATTCAGAAATGAAGGTCAGAATCACTTTAACCTGCTTTTGGCACAGTTCATGTGTATTAAGGGCAGTCCAGCTCTGTTTAACGTAATTATTTATGTATTGATAAAGCTTCAAATATACCAACATATTTGTAAACGTTCAACCTTTTGTGACGTAATTGCCTCAATAGAGTTTAATAGAAGCGTGAGTGACTGCTTTTTTAGATCTAAATTGAGCTTGGGTGTAGCCATTATCATAAAGAGAACTGAGAGAACTAATAAGCTAAACCTCACATATAGTCTTGAGCACATTCTTGCTTTCCCTCTTAACTCCTGTCTTAGATACACAAGGAATTCAATTACCTGCGCTTCTTTTTCTTTTCTTTTTTTTTTTCCCCTGAACCGGGCTTAGCATAGTTATCCTGAGCGCTAACCATAATCATGCCACTGGCATTAATTGTGCTGTAATTGCAGAGGCTCTCAGCACCTGGACGATGCTTAATTGTGTGCACTGTGCTGGCACAATGACCTATAATTTTTTGGCTTCTTTTTTTTTTTTTCCTCTAATTTCTTTCCCACTCATACCATCTGTATTACTCACCCACACCTCTCTCAGCTTTCCCTTCAGTTCCTGTTTGTGTGTCCTTGTTAATGTGTTTGCCTTAAGTTTCACTTTTAAAGTTTGCCCAGTAATGATGTGCACACATTTACCTGCATGAAGTCAAAATAATTAGTTTTAATCTAATATACACTACATTGAAGTATTGTACAGTATGCACAGCTCTAAAGGAGATTTTTTTTCTGATAGCTAGCTGTTTTTTTTTTTTTAAAGATGGTACATTATTCTTGGTCAGTGATGGGCAACTGGCGGCACATAAATACATACTTTACACAGCGTTTTATCATTTTTAAAATCACATTAAAGCACAAAAATAAAATTCATACTAAATTTGAGCTTTTCTAAACGTACACGGCATTTTAACATATAATTCAAATGGGTTTTTTTTTTTTTAATATTTAACAATGCATTTTGGTCATACTTCTGGTGAGGAAGTGTGTTGTCTTATGTGGCCCCCCGAGTAGCAATGATGAAAAATTGGTCCCACCTCCAGCGTTTTGAAGTTGCCCATCCCTGTTCACGGTAATACAATTTGTGATGGTGTTCATAACGCTTTGACTGTAATTTAACAGATTATTTTGAGCCTACAACAATTAAGTAATGCTGTACTGAATGCCTGTATTAACAACTTTCTGCTTCTTCTTTGATTTGGTAGTCTTCTTTGAACCAACTCTATAGTCAGTTCCTGCTGGTCATAGAGGCTCTGACTGAGTTCTGGGATGTTCTCGATGAGATTGACGCAAAGACCTGGATTCTGGAGCCCGAAAAACCAAATCTCTCTGACACTATGAGGCGGATCGCTATTGGTAATATACAGCGCTTAACAACTACAGTAGACCAAGCTTTCAACTACTAACACTACTGGTACTGTTAATGCAAGCAAATAGCGATATTCTGAGAGAAACAAAAATGAATACGCTTTACTGTTCATGTAATAAAACTCTAAATTCAAAAATCCACATTTAAATATTAAGATTAGACTATGCATCCATTTTGTTTTAAAACAAGCAGAGTTTAAAACAAAGTGATGTACTGTACTTTATTGTAAACCTTCTCTGAACTAAATACTTAGTGTATGTACAAATGTAAATTAATAGAAACAAATTTGCAATTGTTGTGACACGTTTGTTTGTAAAATCACGAAAAGTGAAAGTGTCCCTGCCGTTGCAGTTGCAATTGATGCTTGCCAAAGTGTGGTGCAAATGGCTAAAAGTTCTGTGCAGGAAGGCAAACACAAAAATGGCACACGCTGCTTCCGATGACTTTTGAGTTCTGCTTCAATATGTCGCATATACTGTACATTCACTGGCTTGGCTTCGTTCGACTTCCAATTCCTCCAAATAAACCAGGTTAAACCTGTCAACAAGTGTATGTTTGCCCTTTGTTTTCCTCTATGTCTCTTCAGACACTTATTGAGTAAAATCTACTTATGCATGCAACGTATTTGATAACTCAGCATAAAAATGTGTTTTGTTTCTGCAGCAAACAATGTCTCCATAAAAGTAGAAGTTGATCCCCAACACCCAAAGATGCTGCCAGAATGCTGCCTACTGGGAGCTGAGCATGGTCAGTAGAACCCCATTCAGATGGCAATGCTTAAGTGTTATTTTAGGTTGCGTTCATATTGCAGATGCAACGCATACGTATCCGATTTTGGATCTACGTATGAAAGAAGCCCAGGTCGGATTTGAAAAAAAATCTGAATTGTACCGTTCACACTGCATGTAGAAGTCAGACGTGTCGCATATGGGCAAAACAAAGCTTCAGTCAACTGAAACAAAGGCTGTTTTTTTGCAACGCTTTTTCAGCATATGCCTCTGTCAATTGCAGCGCGTGTGTGTGATGAACCTTTTAAGGGACAGTGGTTACTGCAGTGGACAGCTTATCATGTTATCAAGTTACAGGGTGAATGAAAGGGTTCAGAAAATGTTAAGCTTTAAAAGGAAAATTGTGTCAATAGCTGAAAAAAGTTTTGGGGGGGAACAGAGCAGACAAATTCAGAAAGTGTGTGTGTTGTTCCCTCGTCAGCCCCTTCCACTACACCAGGGGTCGGCAACCCGAAATGTTGAAAGAGCCATTTTAGACCAAAATAAACAAAAAACAAATATGTCTGGAGCCGCTAAAAATAAAAAGCCTGATAATGAAGGCAACACATGCTGTATGTATCTATATGAGCTATATTAGCCCGCTATCAACATGACTAAGTTGGCTACAAATACACAACGAGCATTCATGATTAAAAGTTTTTTTTCCCCCTTGCAGTTCATCCTGTTAGAGGAGGGGTGCCCAAACCTTTTTGACGGAAGATCTACTTTTTGAACAACCAACTTCCCACGATCAACCCTTTACCACACACGCGCTCATACGCACACACTAACACACGCATGCCGTAATGAGCGACAGCCATAACGGCCGCTGAGATGAACGAGGCACGTGACGCACTTTCGCAGCGTGCTAACTATCGTAGCTCATGTGTACCGTTCAACCCCCGTGCAATGCAGGTACACTTCAGGTACACCTGACATGCGTTGTGTTGCAAAAACAAATGCATGCCACAGGTTTAAAACCCATGCAACCCATCTGCTTCTCTTGGCCGCCCAGATTCCCATTCTTAGCAAGTACCCTCGGTGAATTGTACATGAAAGGCAGCTGTTTGTTTTTTGATTTTTTTTTTTTTTTTTTTGTTTTCTACAACAGCCCCCTGACTGACATCGCCCTGCTAATAGAAACGTGTGTCGCAGGCTATGATGCTAATATTCGTTGACGAAATGTTGACATTAAATATTTATTTGACACATTTTTACAGCATCGGAATACGTTAATGTTTGTCCTCTGACAGAAACCATATTAAAACAAAAACATATATTTCCCTCCCATCTTTTTGCATTTTCAAACATTTTTGAAAAAGCTCTCGGGAGCCACTGTGGGGCGCTTGAGAGCCGCATGCGGCTCGAGGGCCGCGTGTTGCCAACCCCCGCACTGCACCCATGCACATGAATGCTAGTTCAAGCTGAGTTTAACAAGACCTAAAATGCATCGCTTTTTATTCCACAATGGGCAGCAAAGTCAGCACTTTCCCATCGTTGTCTATATGGGTAAAGAGCGATTGCAGGATGGGGGCCGGATTTAATTTACCAACCTCTGGGGGGAGTATCAGACGTGGAGCTCTAAAATTCTTGAGATCAATGACATATCTAAACGCCGTATACCTAACTTATGGTGTCTCCTTGTTGTCGTCTTTGTTGAATTCACCGATGAACTATGAACTGTCCTGATGGTATCGCACTAATTACAGAGCTCATTCAGCTGTCCTCTGCAAGGGCTCTGATATACGGTCAGCGACACACTGCCGTTGAAACCCAGTCAAAGGGATAGAAGGAAGTGCATTTTGGACAATGGATTTGCACTGTGTTAGACCTTCTCCATTTTTAATTAAGAATACAACTCCTGGCAAAAAGATTTTGGAATCGCCAGTCCAAGAGGATTTTCATTCAGTTACTTTTGTTGGAAAAATAAAATGATCACAGACTTGACACAAAACCGATGTCTTTTTCAAATGGCTTTATGCTTGTGGAGGCTCTCAGTCGTTTCTACAAATGGCTTTAAGAAACACTAAAATAAATCAAGAATGAAAAAAAATGTGGTAGTCAGTAGAAAATATGGAATCACTCAATTATGCGAGGAGGAAAAAAAAACGTAATCAACCTGTAAATATCCATTCCCAAAACTAACACCTGCCTGAGATTAAATCTGCCCGTTAGTCTGCAGTTAAACAGGAGTGGTTACAATTTGGAGAGCTGTTGCACCAAGTGGACTGACATGAATTATGGCTCGAACACAAGCAGTAGCCTGTGACTTCAGGTCTGTCTTGGCTTTACTTTTTTTTTTTGTCTTTGCATTCTTTTATTCTTTGGCGCTCACAACTTGTCTTCCCTCTTTGCGCCTCCTGCATGCAGGCCGATATGTATTGCATGGGCATTGTTTCTTTATCGAAATATTATTATTACATCAACCCTGAACTTTCTGTGTAGATATAAATGAAGCAATGAGAACAAAAGGTGGATATGATTTGTCGAGATTGCGTTAACTCATTAAGATCTACCAAACCATTTCCAGACAGTTACACATTAATAGACATGAGGAATGTTTATCTCATTTGACTTCACTACTGGACGTTCCTGACTACCTGTAGATGCCTTGAAGCTTCTGGGGAATTCTATTATGTGCTATGCACAAGATTCATGGTGAAGATGAGCATATGTCCAATTGTAGAGCGCTAAACGGGTTTTGGGTTTGTTCGCCGGGCTGGCATCTCCGAACCTCCCAACTTTTCCCAATATCCGAGGCGATTTTTAATTTAGTTCTCAAATTGTTTCTCACTGATGGCGGCGTGTCCCCGCAGTCATGTGCCCCACCTGACACAATAAGCTACATGCCATGTAATAAAAAAACAAAATCTGTCTGCGCTCGCCATTATTCAGATTAGCTCAGTAAGGCACCATCAGGTGGGGCGGAAAAAGAAATATCACTGCGTCAATTTCCTTAACGTTTGGATTTGACCCGGGGTGCTTGTGTTGATTATTGTCTTCCGTCATGTCGGAGCTCTTGCTTTCAGACCGGCACGATTTCATTCTGCTCGTCACAACCTCGGAGACATCCGGCGCGCTTTCTCTTTAATTCCCCATCAATTGTCAGCCATTGTTTCTGTAAATCCAGGGTCCTGAAACGCCAAGCGTGTTGCCTAGCAATGCGACTCAAATGATATTAAACATACACACTTGAGCCACCCGAGACGCTTGGCAGGCGGCGACCCTCAAATATGAGGTGTTGCGCAGAAATATTGCTTTTTGCATGTAGGAATGAGAAATAGTGAAAGTGATGAGCGCTACTCAGAGACGAGGGCTCCCCTGTGGAACACGGCGGAGCCGTGCTGGCTCATATCTGCATGCGCTCACAAAGGCTCCTAGAAATGAAGATGCATGCGCTGAAAGAGTAATATCATGTCATACTGTATGTGGGGAAAAGATCAATCAATATAGAACTGGAAAAAGTCTGGAGGTTTGACTCTTAAGTCATCGATCGTTAACACTTTTTTTTTTTTTTTTTTTTTTTGCTTGTTGCAGTTGTGACGCCGCTGAGGAATAACCTGAACGCCAACATGCATTTGTGGTAAGCGGTGGTCGCATTTAAGTCTTGTTTGGGATTTCGGCATTCTTCAAATATGTTTTCTTGAAACCGGTCAGTTTCAGTGAAGGTGGTGGAATTCATCATCTGTGGAAATTGGGTTGCACTTTTACAATAAAATGCAAACATCTTTCATGTGAGGTATTGAATTTTTATTTTGGGAAATATCAATTGTTAAAACTAAGCACAAAAAAATAAAATAAATAACTTCAAGGAGCTTTACATCTACTCTGCAGTTGCACCGATGGTTCTCAAACTTTTTACAGCAAGTACCACCTGAAAAAAAAAAATACTCTGCTCTTCAAGTGCAACCGAATGACCAACATTAAGCTTCAGAAGTGCGAGCAGAGGTTTTATTCCTAAAAAAGCGTATTTGATGTTGTTGTAAGGCACTGGAATATTATGCACAGATTAAATAGCGCAGTTTCACAGCTCACCTGTTTTCTGAAGCTGAGCCGCGATTGGTCGCTCCCTGAGCTGCTCTGAGAAACGGTGATGTCATTTTCAGTCAGCAAGTTGACTGAAAAAAATGGCCACCCCGAGTTGGAATAAACGTTTCTATTTTTCCTGCTTCACTCATATCACACAAATGTAACATTCATCACATTGCCGTGCTTAGAATCACGGGGCTGCATCGAACATATTGTCAAGAACATTTTGTAGGGAGGGCTGGGGAATGTAGTTGAATAATGAATAAAATATATTGCTCACAATTGCACCAATTTCATTTAAATGTTGGAAAATTAACAGTTCTCAATAGATGATGTACATATAGTCTTGTATTTACAAGTTAAATACAACTGAACTGTAGAGTACTGGATTTTGAAAAAAAATCACTGATTAAAAACGAGACTTTGTGTTGAACTGGAACGAATACTTTGTGTTTCCATTTGTTTCAAAGGGAAACATTTAGTTCGGTTCCCAAACGTTTTGGGTTACGAAACAGCACCGCGGAATGAATTCAATTTGGAAAACACGTTTCCACACCACTGCACGCAATTCATTAATTAAATTGATGTTACGGGTAGCGACAAACAGCATTAGCTTTAGAAAAAAAAATGCCGATTTATCACAGCTTTTGTGTTGGATCTTGCCTCATAAGAAAGTGGTGGCTACATTTTTATAATCTGACAACATGAATCAAAAAGAGCAAGGGAGAACAAAATAATTTGATATTTGGCATAAGGAGGTTGACCAAAATGTGACGTGATGGAAAAAAAAAACATTGACTACTATTTTTATATCAGGGGAAAAAACTCCACCATGGTTACATTTGCGTCACGATGACACATCGAGTAATGTCGATCTAACACTCTTCATTTTAACACAGTGCTATCACAAATGCTCCTGTTTTTTTTTTTTTTTTGCTCCCCCCTGCCATCACCCCATTTCTTTTTTTAAACCAACGGTGAAAGTCTCCTAATCATCCCCTAGTGTCTTTGCAGGCTCATTTGCATGTGGTTAATTAGTGTGTGAAGGAGCTGTCTGTGGTCTGCTGGCAGGAACCCGGACTCTGGTGTCTTGCAAAACCTCCAGGATGTTTTGGAGATCGAATTCCCATCACCTGCCACCCACGAAAAATCTGTATGTCACACAATTGCCCCCCTTCTCCGTTTTCAAACATGTCCGTTCCCATTGCGATTACCTCAAGGAGCCGTGTGTGTGTGTGTGTGTGTGTGTGTGTGTGTGTGTGTGTGTGTGTGTGTGTGTGTGTGTGTGTGTGTGCGCTTCACATCTCAGCATGCGTACTCCTGTTTGTGCGTCTGTTTGAGCGTCAATTCTTAAGGGGGCGGATATCCACAATTGTCTCATTGTGTGCGTTGCCATTTTGTATTTTGTTTTGCGAAGAGGTGGGAACAACTTCTTCTCTAATTGGGTTGTTTACAGATCCGACTATTAAAAACAACAAAGATGGCACAATTCCGTGCGCTCTTGCAATCACTTTAATCACGCAAAACCATTTATCCTTTTTTTTTCCTAGTGGCTCTTCTCCCTCCTGTCGCTGCAGATGACTTGAAAGAACACTCTGTAGCTTTAGCTTCATTAGCATTCAGAAAGAAGACCAAAAAAGTTTAGTTGCCCAGATGTTGATCTATTTATTTATTTTTTTATTCTGCCGCCCTCATTTAACGATTAGCTGTGATAACGAAGAGGCTCTATTCCAAAACGCCCTGTCTACTTTTTTTTTTCCCCTTGTTTTGAAGCGGGTGGGGACTGGGCAAAATATATTTAAATAGTTGTCATATTTCCATATTTTTCACAGATGTTCAGTGTCGAGTGCGGGATCTGCTACTCCTATCGCTTTGAGGCTGCTATCCCTGACCAGGTGTGCAACGATCCTCGCTGTAGTCAGCCCTTCCATCAGGTGTGCCTGTATGAGGTATGAGGGGACACACGCCGTGGTGAAATACGAGACACAATGTTTTTGCTTGTGCTGTTCTGACAACACTGTAGGACAAATCACGAAACGACACCGATTAAAGTATATAGTTAAAGGCAGTCACTTGGATGAGTTTCTTTTCACCTCAGACTATTACCGGGATTTTCACGACCATACGGCGCACCGTATTAAGCGTGTCAGATACAGGGTGCTATTTCCGTCGTTAACGCATACACAAGACGCACTGCATTCTTGGACGCAGCTCAGAGGAGCTTCGCTAAGCCTGATTGTACTCCAACCTGCTCGCCGCAATTATTTCGAATGAACATTTAGGTCAGAAATAAATCGGCGTAAACTTCTCATGCCTGTAAGGCACAGCTAGTAAGTTCCTTGCGCACAGTTCATTACATCAGATGTTGCTAAATTTGTTCAGTTCAAGTTAGGGTTGCATAATTACGGGTTCTTTCTAAATTGGAAGCGTTGCCTGGGAATTTTGAGGGATGAACGGTAAGAAAGCAGGAATTTACTCATTTTAAGGCTGGCTCTTAATTGGGGAAATCCACCCATCCGTTTTCTGATCAGCTTATCCTCACGAGGGTCGCGGAGTGTGCAAGAGCCTCTCCCAGCTGTCATCGGGTCATAGGTGGGCTCCACCCTGAACTGGTTGCTCGTCATTCCCATTCGTGCTCACAATCACACCTTGGGACAATTTAGAGTGTTCCATTAACCTGCCATGCATTGTTTTGGAATGTTTGAGAAAACCAGAGTACCCAGAGAAAACCCACGCAGGCACGGAGATAACATGCAAACTTCACACAGGAAGGCCGGAGCTGGAATCGAACCCTGCACCTCTGTACTGTGAGGCCGAGGTGCTCACATGTCGACCACAGGGCCACCTAAAATATATAAATAAATTTTATATATATATATATATA